ACAGGGTTTCACCATGTTGACCAGGATGGTCTCGATCTCTTGACCTCGTGATCCACCCGCCTCGGCCTCCCAAAGTGCTGGGATTACAGGCTTGAGCCACTGCGCCCGGCCTGTGTTGTACTTTCAAAGGCTCTCTGTGGGGTCAGAGTTGCTCCTGGTCTTGGGACCCATCTGCTGGGCTCAGAACAGCCTCGCTGTGGCCAGCCTCTGATGGCCCTTCCCACTCCACCTTCCAGGTGCAGCATGTGGTGTCTCAGAACTGTGACGGGCTCCACCTGAGGAGTGGGCTGCCACGCACGGCCATCTCAGAGCTCCACGGGAACATGTACATTGAAGTGAGCAGTCCTGAGGGGACCTGGGAACTCCATGGGCAGGCGGGTCCCACTCACTGTGCCCTCTCCTCTTCAGGTCTGCACTTCCTGCGTTCCCAACAGGGAGTACGTTCGGGTGTTCGATGTGACGGAGCGCACCGCTCTCCACAGACACCAGACAGGCCGGACCTGCCACAAGTGTGGGGCCCAGCTCCGGGACACAATTGTGCACTTTGGGGAGAGGGGGACGTTGGGGCAGCCTCTGAACTGGGAGGCGGCAACTGAGGCTGCCAGCAGAGCAGACACCATCCTGTGTCTGGGGTCCAGCCTGAAGGTGCGTGCCAACGACACCATGAATGAGCTGAGCCCCCACCTGCCCAAGGGCGTCCAGCTCTGCGGCCCAGCACTCTACAGCCTTGCCCCTTGTGTGTGTGCTGTGTCTGTCCGTCTGTTCCCACAGGTTCTAAAGAAGTACCCCCGCCTCTGGTGCATGACCAAGCCTCCTAGCCGGCGGCCCAAGCTCTACATCGTGAACTTGCAGGTAACTCGTGTGCTGAGAGCCACGTCCTCAGACCTGGGCCTTAGAATGCAGAGCCAGAGACACCCGACACCCATGCACCAGGGCAGTCTGATAGGGCCCCCCTGTGGGTGTTCAGGGAGCAACAACCGAGGCCACAGGGGCCGAGGCTGACAGGCCACTGGGAAGGGTTGGGCTGCTTTTACCCTCACTCGGCTTTCCTTGTCCTCAGTGGACCCCAAAGGATGACTGGGCCGCCCTGAAGCTACATGGGAAGTGTGATGACGTCATGCGGCTCCTCATGGCCGAGCTGGGCTTGGAGATCCCTGCCTATAGCAGGTGAGTGGGCCGCCGCAGCAGCCCGCTTCCCCGCACCTCGTGTGCTGGGTCTTGTCTGTCTTCTCTCATGAGCTGAGCGTGGAGGAGGCTCTGAGGTGTTCGCAGCGGTGTCTGAGGCATGACTGAGGCGTGGTGGTCTCCAGAGGGCCTGACCTCGGTGTCTGGCGGAGACCGTGCATGGGCCACTCCTGCGCCAGCTGATGTGATGCACAGAATTCCTGAGGGGAGAGGGATTCTGCCTGCATGCTGCTGCTCCAGGCCTCCCCATGGAGCTCTCCGAGATGCCTGGTGGGAAATGTCTCGAGGGGACGTGCACTCGGCAGTCCGGTCAGACAGAATCTGTGTGCTTGGTTTTGGGAGTTGGCGTATTTTGGGAAAGCCTAAACTTGTGCCTTAATACAGAATTTGTGCTAATTTAGACTTGGTGTATGTATTGAGTAAAAAGTTTACACTCTCTTTCTCTGTGAATTTTCAGGGTCTTATAGGGGAAATCAATAACTTCTTTTAATCAAAGGGTTCAAGAATTAAGGATCCCTTCGCCTTCTGGGCCTGGCACTTCTTGTATGTTATGTGTGTGGTGTTCTGTGATGTGGGCTATCGTGTACTGTATTTTTTTTTTTTACATTAACTTAGCTCATTTTCCTTATCAGTGCTTATCTGTATCTTAAGTTATGATCTGTGGTTCTACATCTCAGTCAGACACATGGTTTCTTCACGGTGTCGTCTGTAGGCCACACCTCCCTAGTCAGCTGGGAAAGGGGAGAGGGTCTGGTCCACCTGCCCCTGGCCTTACAATTCGAAGGTGGGGCCCAGAGTTCTAGCGACTCATCCCTGGAGACGGAGGCAGCCCCGGGGCCACTGCTGCCCCGCCCTGTGTGTGCACGCTGCTCAGTGGTGGATGAGGACCTGGAGTTCTGAGGAGACCAAGCTAGCTAATGTGGGCACTGACCTTTAGTGACTACCTGAGAGGTGACCTCTCCCACATCCGTTCTGCAGCTTGGTAACAAGCTGCCACCAACTGGAGCCCAGCCGCGGTTGACACGGGAGGGAAGGGGATGGGAAGGCAGGGACCGCAGACAGCTTTCCCGAGCTGGGGCGGGTGTGACTGCGAGATGCTCCCAGGCCTGCCTGATGCAGCTTTCCCTTTTTGGCAGGTGGCAGGATCCCATTTTCTCACTGGCGACTCCCTTGCGTGCTGGCGAAGAAGGTAGCCACAGTCGGAAGTCGCTGTGCAGAAGCAGAGAGGAGGCCCCACCTGGGGACCGGGGTGCACCGCTTAGCTCGGCCCCCATTCTAGGGGGCTGGTTTGGCAGGGGCTGCACAAAACGCACAAAAAGGAAGAAAGTGACGTAACCTGGTGCTCAATGAAAAACAATTGGCACTTTGCAGATGGCCAGTGTCACGGTGAAGGCTGGGTTGTCCCACAGGTCTAGTGAGAACTCTGGGGATGACATTTTCACCATGACATCTTTAGCCATTTGTCCTTGTGGAAGCCCCTTGCACTGCTGCGGTTGTCTCCTGATACAGCTTGGCCATCGAGGACACCTCCTGCCCATTCATCCTCGATGTCAAGAGGTGGCAGCCGCCCCTTTCTGTGAGAACGGAACTCGGGTAATTTCAGCCCTGGCCGGCAGAGGAAGCGCCCAGCGGCCTTCCCTCACTCACCAGGCCAGTCTCAGGGCCTCACCCTATTTCTACTACTTAGGAAAAAGTGTGAACTTTGTAAAACCCTCTTCCTGTACTGAATGTACGGTGGAGGGGTGGCTCTGAGCCTCGGCTTTATGCAGACCTTTTTATTCCTATTAAACATCTCTCTGCACTGGCCTCCAGTGTCCGCGAGTGGTTGGCGCGGGCCCACCAGGCACAGGTCCACTGCCTGGCAGTGTGGTCCTGGCTTAAAAACTCCCGTGGTTGGATGATGGATATTGTGCCAAAAAATAACAAGGAAAAAAAAATCCTGCTTGGGACAGCGCCCCGTGGGGGTTCACGGGGGCGGCGGCGGCGGCGGGACGCCCGGCGCTCCGCACTGCCAGGCCCGCCCTTTGCCAGGTGAAGGCCGTGCGGAGAGGCCAGGTGTGGGCCGGGGGCGGGGCTCTGGCCGCGCGGCACACGCCATTGGCCGTGCATGTGGAGGGAGGCGGGACCGCCAGGGTCTCACGCTATTGGCAGTCCACGGAGGTGCGGTGGGGCGCGGCCTTCGAGGGCGGGGCTCGGGCCTGAGGGCCTGGGGCGGGGCGGGGACGACGGGGGCGGGGCTTGGATGGGCGACTCACGCCATTGGCTGTGCGGAGCGGGTGAGGCCCGCGTGACGGCGGCTGCGCATGCGCCGGGCGGGTTGGGGGGGTGGGGCGGACGGCGGCGCTCGGAGTGGCCGGGAGTTGCCAGGCTGGCTGCGCCGCCGCTGCGGAGCCATGATCCGGAACGGGCGCGGGGCTGTTGGCGGCGCAGAGCAGCTGGCCCCGGAGGGCAGGCGCGCCGTGCGGGTGTGGTGCGACGGCTGGTGAGCGCAGGGCCGGGGCGGGCCGCGGGGGCGCCGGGGCCGACTTCTTTCCGGAGCGCTGAGCCGGCCGTTGCACAGGGACCGGGCCCGCGTTCTGGGTAGCGTCCGCGTCCGGCGTGGGCCGGGGCTGCCCGGCTGCGAGGCGCGCGCGCCGGGAGGGTCGGGCTGCAGAGGCTTCGCGCCCTGCCGTGGGCGCCCCCGTCTGTGTGGCGAAGGCCTCGCCCAGTCGCGACGACCCGTCCCGTGCAGCCACCGCGCTGCGATCTGGAGCGAAGGCCTCCCCGCTCCTCCGTGACCACCAAACACCAGCCTGCCCGGCTCCGGCCCAGGGTTCCCCTGGCCCCTGGGCGAGCGCCCCCGTAGCTGGACAGCAGATGTGACCCGCCTGTTGGGGACCCGCAGTGAAGCCCGCGGGCTCCCGGGTTCTCCTCCGCGGGTCTGGAATGCGATCGGCCTTCTCTCGCCAGACAGAGGGCATTGTTTTAAGAAAAGTTTGGGTTGTCAACAAGTGAAAGGAAGATGCCCTTTACTGATAATTTGCTGTCTCTGATCCTTTCACGTGCCTAACGGATGGCACGTGAGTCGCTGTGAAGAAAGCGCCTCTATCAGGTTAGCCCTTCCCAGCAGAGCAAGCGGGACCTTGCCCTCTGTGTCTGGGAGGAATGTGGCTTTGTGTCAGTGGACTTTGACCTTGCCGGGAGCAGGCCCCAACCCCGTGTGCTTATAGGCTGCAGTGACTAGACCCAGCACCATTCCAGGCTGTGCTCCACTGGCCCAGCCTCTGACCCCTCCTCCCCTCCAGCCTGTCCAGGGCCCACCAGACTTGACCCTGCATGTCTGCTGGGGCTCCGTGCACTGTGGCAGGGGTGCTGGGTGTCCATGCTGGGAGGAAGCAGTGACACTCACGGAGCAGCTCTGTGTACTGTGTCGGGCTGCCAGGGTCACATCTCTCCTTGAAGAGGCAGGGACAGCTTCATCCACTCTTGAGGGGATGGGCAGCTGCTGTAAAGAAGGGCAGTGGGGCCCAGTTTGTGACAGGGCTGTGTAGCTTTGGGCTTGAGAATTCATGTGTTACCAGTCCCAGATTTGTGAATGAAAACTCTAGAACCAGGTGGCAAGGCAGTGGCTGCTCACCCTGAGTGAAGCCTACTAAGCTTCAGAGACCTTTGGGGTAGAGGAAACAGGATTCTCAGGGCCAGTGATTCCCAGGGCCACCTTCTGTGGTTGGGTTTGTTTTGGGTTGGCCCCAGGGACTGTTCACTTGTCTCAAGGCTGTCGAGGATCAGATCCCACCCCGAGAGTTAACACTGGCTTATTTTGAAGTGACTGCCCAGGGCAGTTTATATTTGGTGAGGGGATAGGACAGGGGCAGAGTGCTGGGAGGTGTGGGACACAGGGCCCTGCAGCTTTCAGTGGGTTCCGGTCCGTCCTACACCCACCAGTCCTCTGGACCCCGCCAGGCCTTGACATCCCTGCCCCCGCTACCCTTTCTAGATCTGGCACAGGGGTCCCACCATCAGGCCCAGGAGCCAGTGGGGTGGAGAGCTGAGCACCTGCACCCTGAATCCCAGCCCCAGGGCCCCCAGCAGCAACTTCTCAGAGCGCTTCCTAAGGAGTCCTCAGAGGAGCAAAGCTTTGCCCTGAAGCCAGAGGGCCACCTGGTTCCCACCCTTGGCATGGGGACCAGCTACTCTCTCTGTCTCCACAGCTATGACATGGTGCATTACGGCCACTCCAACCAGCTGCGCCAGGCACGGGCCATGGGCGACTACCTCATCGTGGGCGTGCACACTGATGGTATGCACAGGCAGCCTCGCCCACCCACTGCCCCACAGCCCTCCTGTGGGTTGTGCCTGTTGACTGAAAGCCTGCAGACCTGGGACTGCCTTGCCAGGACATAGCTTCACGGGAGGGCACTGTAGTATCACCCAGCCGGCCCCAGCTGAGGATGGCCTAATGCCTGTCCCATCTTGCACTTCCTGTCCCAGCTCAAGAGAAGGGGCACCTGCTCCTCACCGCCACCAGCATGGCTCCCAGTCCCTCAGGGGCTGAGCACCTGCTTGTCAGAAGGAATCCCTGCCTTTGCCTGAGACTCTCAAGGGGGAGAGAGCCACCCAGTTGACCAGCACTAGTGGGCTAAGGACTGGCAAGAGACACAGCCTGCCCTCCACCAGCCCTCATGTGTGGCTACAGCTGGGGGCTGAGAAGGGGCCTCCTACCAGAGGGGCCGGGTGGGCTGGGGTCCCCAGTGCCCCCCTTGTTCTTTTCCTAGAGGAGATCGCCAAGCACAAGGGGCCCCCGGTGTTCACTCAGGAGGAGAGATACAAGATGGTGCAGGCCATCAAGTGGGTGGATGAGGTGGTGCCAGCGGCCCCCTACGTCACCACACTAGAGACTCTGGACAAATACAACTGTGACTTCTGTGTTCATGGCAGTGAGTGTCGGGGCTGGGGCCTGGGGGCCTGTGGATGTTAGCTGGCTCAGGATCAGATCTGCTGGTGGGACAACCGGGGACAGGGGGCCTCCATGCCCTTCGAGGATCTGAGACTACCTAGAAATGGGCACATGGACACCAGGGCAGGCCAGGGGCTTGGAAGGTCCTGGGCCCTGAAGGTCCTGTTGGCTTTGGGTTAAGGATCCTTGTCCTTGTGTGTTACTGCTTAGATGACATCACTCTGACCGTAGATGGCCGGGACACCTATGAGGAGGTAAAGCAGGCTGGGAGGTACAGGTGAGTCTCCACCTCGGGCCCGGCCGTCCAGGGAGCTGGGCACGGGGCTCCCCCCAGCTCGTGCTTTGCTATTTCCTGGGAGCCCATGATGGAGCGTCTGAGTCCTGGGAACTCGAGGGATGGGGGCAGCGTTGTGGGGTGCACCTGGTGGCCCTCGCCATTTGGTGCTGCAGACTCATGGCCCCAGAGCTCCAAAGGCACAGCTTTGTGAGGTGGCGGCTGTTGAGCTCGGGGGATGTGGCTGGCACTGCCGGGGAGCTGGCACTATATCTCAATTACCAAACGTCAGGGAGCACAAGGCCAATGGCTCCTGCATGGGATGCTGCAGCTGGGAATTCGCTCGGCCACAGATGCTCACTGGGCAGGACGTGGGCATGAGGGAGGCAGGAGCAGAGCCACCACCCCAGTGCCTGCCCTCTCCATACCATTGCACACCTGTGCTCCAGCAAGGGTCCTTTCCATACTCCCATCCCTCCCTCCAGTCAGTAAAAGAATGGAGGCCTGCCAGGCGCGGTGGCTCAAGCCTGTTATCCCAGCACTTTGGGACGCTGAGGTGGGTGGATCATGAGGTCAAGAGATCGAGACCATCCTGGTCAACATGGTGAAACCACGTCTCTACTAAAAATACAAAACATTAGCTGGGCATGGTGGCGCGGCCTGTAATCCCAGCTACTCAGGAGGCTGAGGCAGGAGAATTGCCTGAACCCAGGAGGCGGAGGTTGCGGTGACCTGAGATCGCGCCATTGCACTCCCGCCTGGGTAACAAGAGCGGAACTCCAACTCAAAAAAATAAAAAGAATGGAGGCCTTCCTCACGTTGCCAGCCCAGGTTTTCTGTCGTGGCCTTGCACAGGGAGGGGACCCTCAGTCTTCGGGCAGCCGTAGGTTCTGCCACAACAGGGCCGCTAGTGTCCCTAGTGGGGGTAGCTGGAGGCAGAGCCTTGCAAGTGCCCCAGGAAGAGACCCCACTCCCTCTCTGTCCCCCAGAGAGTGCAAGCGCACACAGGGGGTGTCCACAACAGACCTCGTGGGCCGCATGCTGCTGGTGACTAAAGCCCACCACAGCAGCCAGGTGAGTAGGGGCGGAGTCCCCGAGGTCCCCGGGTCCAGGTCGCCATGGGAAAGGAGGAGCATCTCCCTGCTCCCTCAGGGCCCTCCTGCCCACGCTCCCGTCCCCGCCTGGTCCTGGGGTGGCCACACCTGGAGTGCAGGCCTTTCAGCCCTGCTCTGCTCTTCTGTGCAGGAGATGTCCTCTGAGTACCGGGAGTATGCAGACAGTTTTGGCAAGGTGAGTGGGGCCATGCAGGGGAGCTAGGCACACAGCTACGGGAGCTACCCTCAGCCGCCTGTCCCAGCCATCCCTTGGGGAAGGCCAGCCCAGAGCCTCACCATCCACCCTGCTCCCTCTCTTCCTGGTGCTGGCCAAGCAGTGACCGCCAGGCTCAGCGACTGATGGGCACTGGGAGGGAGGGCAGTCAGGTGGTGGCACCAGCTGGCCGGTCACAGCAGCCACTGCTTGGAGGAGGAGCAAGGAATGCCTGTGGACAGGTGGCCTCTAACCAAGTGGCCTGGTCCTCTCTCCCTTTGTAGTCCCCTCACCCGATACCCGCCGGGGACATACTTTCCTCAGAAGGCTCCTCCCAGGTGACCAGACGGTGGTCTCAGGGTGCCGGGTCCCTCCCAAGGGCTGTGTGCACCGGCCACCTGGCTCTGGGCCTCCTCCTGGCGGGCAGTGGCTGGGCTGAGGTGGTGTCAGCTGTGGTGCCTGCTATGGCTGTGGGGTGCGCCACAGTCCCACCTGCCACTTGGCCTGGCAGTGTGTCCCCTGCCCGAGGTGATTGCCTGGAAATGGAGTTGCTGGCAGGCAACAGCTGAGGGTTTGGTGACCTGGCAAGGACAGCACCTGGGAGGCCTCCCCTGCCAACCTGCTCCCTCTCTTGGCTTACAGTGCCCTGGGGGGCGGAACCCCTGGACTGGGGTATCCCAGTTTCTGCAGACATCCCAGAAGATCATCCAGTTTGCTTCTGGGAAGGAGCCCCAGCCAGGGGAGACAGTCATCTATGTGGCTGGCGCCTTTGACCTGTTCCGTATCCTCTGGGCCTCTGCTGCTCCCAATGTGTGCCACGTGGGGTGGGACCCAGGGGCCTCACTTGACTCCTTGGGGCCCCCAGACTGGGCTGGGTTGCGGGGGAGCAGCTGTCAGAGAGAGGATGGCGGAAGGCCCCTGGGCACGAGCTGTTGGAGGGAGGATGGTGGGAGGCCCCTGGGCACAAGTTGTTGGGGAGTTGCCCCCTGCCATTCCCGTCCTGGTTACTTCTTAACCTGGGCACAGACATCGGGCATGTGGACTTCCTGGAGAAGGTGCACAGGCTGGCAGAGAGGCCCTACATCATAGCTGGCTTGCACTTTGACCAGGTCACTGCCCAGTGCCCTCTTGCTCCCTGGGCCCCTGGGCAGCTGATAGGCCCTCGAGGGGGCCCTAGGGGTTGGTGTCAGGTGCAGGTGGTCTCTGGGAGGAGGAGGCCCGCGGTGAAGTCAAAGGAGACCCTGGGGGGTGATCATGGGCTTCTGGGGTCCAGGGCTGTCCTGTCTGGGCATCCCCACAAGGGCGGGCATCCTCCTCGACCTCTTCCCACAAGGGACAGCAGGGAGGGGTCATATCCTGTCCACCTGAAGTCTCTGGGCTGAGCCAGCATCACTCTGGCCACAGGAGGTCAATCACTATAAGGGGAAGAACTACCCTATCATGAACCTGCATGAGCGGACCCTGAGTGTGCTGGCCTGCCGGGTGAGTTGGGGCCAGGAGCCAGCCCAGGAATGGGGGGACATCCCTACAATATCTCCCTACCAAGGGCTCCCTGAACCAGGGCAGGGCCACATCCAGCACTCCGAGTTCTGTGGCACCTGCCCATGCCTGTTGGGTGAGGCAGGAGTGGGGGTGGCCAGATCTCCAGGTGCTGTTCCTTATCAACTCACTGAGAAGCCCAAGGGGTCTCCAGCCTGCCCAGCCCGTCCCTGCTACTCACTGGCAGCCCCACCCCATGTCTGGACTGTCTCCCACCATTCCCTGGCCCTGGCTTAACAGTAGCAGGGACCAAGCAAACCTTTCTGCCCACTGTCCCCACAGTACGTGTCAGAAGTGGTGATTGGGGCCCCATACGCAGTCACAGCAGAGCTCCTAAGTCACTTCAAGGTGAGGCTCCGCATGGGCTGGGAGCGCTGTCTGGATGTGGGCTCCTAGGTGGGGCCTAGGAAGTGCCTGGGCTGAGGAAGGGGTGGGGTCCGCTCTCCCAACCCCAGGGCCTGTGCTGGGCTGTGGGTGGCGACGGTGGCTGCCTCCCTGGAGAGGGCTCCTGACCCCCCTCCTTCTCCAGGTGGACCTGGTGTGTCACGGAAAGACGGAAATAATGCCGGACAGGGATGGCTCCGACCCATACCAGGCAGGTCATGATGGCCCTCGCTGGACACAGGGGTTGCCATTGGCACTTCCCAGCCACTTAATGCCTCACTGTGCCTGCCTGGGAAACGGGCACAGTGGCCACAGCTGCTCTGACTGCACCACTCCCACGGGACCCTGGGTGCTGGTCTCTCTTTGGGACAGGGCACTGGATGGGTCCTGGGGAGGTCAGTAGGGACCTTCATCCCCCTCTCCTCTCTGGACCCCCAGGAGCCCAAGAGAAGGGGCATCTTCCGTCAGATTGACAGTGGCAGCGACCTCACCACGGACCTCATTGTCCAGAGGATCATAACCAACAGGTGAAGCTAGGAGGGGGCCCTTTGGAGCCATCTCGTAGGCGCCCTCCACTAGACTCACCCTGCCCTCCCCCCAGGTTGGAGTACGAGGCGCGAAACCAGAAGAAAGAAGCCAAGGAGCTGGCCTTCCTGGAGGCCGTCAGGCGGCAGGCGGCCCAGCCCCTGGGAGAGCAAGATGGTGGCTTCTGACCTGGTGGAGACCCTGGCCAACCCTCACCCTGCTCTGCTTCTGCGCCTTCTACATTTGGCCATAGGACTCTGCGCCGCCCTCTCTAACTGGCCTGGCTCTGGAAAGGCTGGTGAGGACTCTGCCTCCTGCCTGCCTTCAAGGTGCCTGGTTCACAGCAGGCTCTCCGCCCTTTCAGTGAAGCTGCTCATCGAGGGCATCCAGCACCTGGACAGAAGCCACGCTGCCCACCCAGCTGTGGTGGGAAGTGCAGAACAGAGGGCTTTAGAGAGCAGTGACCGTCACCCCTTTAGTTCTCTGGGTGCAGACCACGCCACCTCCCACTTGGTACCCCCCAACACAGTGTCCTGCCACCTGGCACCTGCTCCAGGAAAACATGCTTGCCTTCCTCCCTGGCAGCTTCCTGGCTCACCTTATGGACTCTATTCTGTTTGTACATAATGGCTAATGTAAATCTTTTTGGTATAACTGAATAAAGCCTGGTGGCAGTGCTGTGCAGGGTTCCCCGCCCTGCTGGGAAGGACTGGGGAACCACCCACCCAGCAAGGAGAGCCTCTTGGCCCTTGTGGGCATCCCCAGAAGGGCAGGCACCCTCCCTAACTTCTTCCCACAAGGGACAACCGGGAGAGGGCGTGCCCCCACCACGCACCCAGCAGCCAGTAGGGCAGCGAGCAGCCTGGCATTGAGTGGAACCCCAGCCTCCAGCCCTCCAAAGCGTGGGGCTGCCCCCTATAGCAAGGGAAGCTAGAGTAGGAAGGAGAACCAGGGCTGAGGCTCCTTGACCCTGCAGGGGCCACGTGATCTCTCCTTCCTGCACCCCTGTCAGGGCCCCCCTGGAGCAGCCCAGAGGCCAAACAAGGCTCTTATGGCAGCCTCCACTGTCCTCTGCTTTTGTGAGGTCGACCTCACCACCCAGCAAAGGAGCCGGAGGCGAGGTGCACCGAGGCTGTCCCACAGCCCAGAAGGCAGCATCTCGCCTTGCTCTCCTAGCCAGGGGCCAAGGTGTGAAGCACAGGCAGGCCATCCTGGTCCCACCAGGCCCCCACCTTCAGGAGTGGGGTGGTGCCAATGCTCCCCCTTGACCCCTGGGCTTCGGGGTCCCCTGAGCAGAGGAACCAGCCAGTCCCCCAAGATTGGTGCAGGGGCAGGGGCTGCCTGGGCCCCAGGCTGGGGGAGGGTGGAAAGGCCCTGAGTGTGCTGCCTGTGGCTGGCCCGGTTCCCTTAGCAGCACTGGAGGTCAGGGCCCACACCAGTGGCCCAGAGACTCAGCCACAGAGGGAGAACCCACCCGTCTCCCACCCTCAGCTCCGGGGAGGCATGCTCCAGGCCTCTGGGGCCAGAGCTCAGGCCCCCAACTCTTCTTGCCCCTGCCCCCTTGGACCTGGCCTGGCCAGAAGGGATGGGGGCAAGAGGAAGGCAGCCAGGGGTGCCAGCCCATGCCCTCACAGATTCGGCTCTCAAGTGTGGGTGCAAAGGAATTGGTGAAGACACTGGGGACCATGCCAGCAGTGGCCCTGCACTTGCCCCCAGGAAGCACCAACGCTAGGTTCCCTTGGGCTGGGGTTCGGTCAGGCATAGGTCCTGGCCAGCTTCACCCGGGGATCTGAAAACTTCTGGGCTGCCCAGGCCAACTTTGCCCTGCTGCCGCACACCCCGCTGCCCTCTCCTACCCAGTCTTGGAGACTTCCAGGCCCGGTACCCCTCGTGGTCCGACTGCCCATCCTCCAGCACCCCTCATTCCGAGGCCGCCTTATTTATTTATTTACCATTAACTGCAAGGTGGGCGGAGTAGGGGAGAGCTGGAGCGCCATCCTACGCCCCGCGGGGTCCGGAGTCCCCGAGTGGGACGGTGGGGGCGGGGTCCCCAGCGGTGCCAGGCGAGGTCCGGGTCTGGGGTCCAGGCTCAGGCGGCGCGGCAGTCGGCTGCGCGCAGGGACAGGAAGACATCCGCCTTGCACTGGAAGGTCCCGAGGCCGTCGGGGAGCCGCTCGCACCTCTGCAGGTTCGGGGCAACCTCCTGGACGCACAAGGCCTGGGGCGGGTGGGCGGAGGCTGAGGGGCCGCTGCGCCCCCACCCCTGTCCTGCCGCCGCCCCCCGACAGCTCCTGGCCCACCGGACTCACGAGACTCCGCAGCCTGGGGTGCAGCTCGAGGGAGGCGCCTGCCGGGCCCGGGGGCTGCGCCCCGCTGTGGAGCTGGGAGCGCCGCGCGTACGGGGACCTGCGGAAGCCGGACAGCAGCCCCGCAGCGCGGCCCACGGAGTAGGAGTTGCGCCCCGCCGCTGACTTGTACCACGCGAGGCCAGGCGGCGCCAGCAGCAGGCACAGCGCCAGGGCGGCGGCCGCCAGTGTCGCCGGCCGGGCCATGGGGCTGTGGGCGGGCGGGCAGCGCGTCGGGGCTCAGAGCAGCCACCTCCCGGGCCGCCTTATATCTGCGGTGGGGCGGGGGCGGGGGCGGGCGGAGGCTGCCGAGAGGCCGGGGTGGGCGGACTGGCTGGGGGTGCAGCGGGCGCGGGCGCGGAGGACTCGTCGCCCCTCTCCATCCCAGAGGAACCAGCAGCGCGGGTGAGCGCCGGAGGCGCGCAGAGGTCTGGCGCTTGGTGGAAACCCGACGCCCCCTCAAGCTTCCCACCCACGCCGCTCGCGCCCTCCAGGCCCGGCCTGCGTGGGCCTCAACGGGAGCAGGGGAAGGCCCACGGGCGCCCAGCCCTAGGAATCGTCCCCCAGGCGGTCCGCAGTACCCCTGAGGCTGGAGAGGACTGCACAGTGCCCAGGGGGCGGTTTCTCCCACCCTAAGGGAGATTCTTGGCCGAGGCATGGGAGTCCACGCGGCTTGCGGGGTCCCTCATTTCTTTCGTGCCCATCAGGGGAGGTTCCACCAGCAGGGCTGCTACTGGCCGGGTCCTCTGGGAGCAGGGCAAGAAGGCCAGGCACTGACCTCAGGAAAGCCACATGAGGCACTGGAGCTCTAGGATTCCTGGCCTAGGACTGGAGGCCCCTCCCTGCCCAGCTCTGCCCCTGCGGCCAGTGGCCTGGAAGCTCCTTCCACCTACGTGTGCCTGGCACCTTCTTCATTCATGCAGCAGACATGGAGGTCCAGACAAACGGGAGGTCAGACAGTCCCCCATCAAGGAAATGGAGCTGGCGGCAGAGCGCAAAGGAGTTGCTCCAGGGATGAAGCAGAGGCCTGGGGAATGTTTTCAGAGGTCTCCAGAATTCTGGGCCTGTCTGGCAGGGTACACAGGCTGAGGCTCCCGACCTGACAGGACCCCAAAAGGGCCCTGAGCTTTCATAGGGGAGGCAGATGGCAGAGCAATGCAGGAGATGGAGCAGAGCCGGCCCAGGAGAAGCCCCTGCCGCGCCCAGGAATCACAGAATTGGAGAAATCCAGGTGGCTGGGAAGCCAAGAGGCAGGTAGTTGGCCACAGTGGGTTCAGAGTTGAGCCTGCACATCCTGTCATTCAGGAGGAGGCACCAGGAAGGACGGAGGCAGAGCACATTCCCTAGGAGAGGCTCCATCTCCCAGGAGACGGTGGGCACTCCAGGAAGGAGGACAGGCAGGGGCCTGACCCCACCGAGCCTGGGGAACCCGAGCCAGAGAACAGCCAGGAAGCTCTGAGGCAACAGACCTCTCACCCGCGTTACTGCGGCCCCTGTGGGTGTCCCAGCCAGCTGCATCCTGACTCCTCAGTGTTGGCACCCATGCCAAGATCCAGACTTCGGTGCCTGCCCAGCACTGGCCAGATGTAAGTTTGCAGAGCCGCCAGGAGAAGTTCTGCGGGGCACCAGGCAGGACTGCTGGCCACTCTCCTGGCAGGTGCCATTCAAGCTCACTGTGCCCTCACCATTTCATGCTCTCCCCAGGTCCTGGTCACGTCCTCTTTTAGATATGTCCTCAGGACAGGCACTGGCACTGCAGCCCTGACACCTGTGTTTCTGGGTTCCATGCTTCCCAGGTGTGATGGTGAATACTGTCAACTTGATAGGATTGAAGGATGCAAAGTACCGTTCCTGGGTGTGTCTCCGTAAGGGTGGTGCTAAAGGAGATTCACATTTGAGTTGGCGGACTGAGAGAAGCAGACCCACCCTCAATCCAGGTGGGCACCATCTTATCAGCTGCCAGTGTGGCCAGGATACAAGCAAGCAGAGGAACGTGAAGGACTGGACGGGCTGATTCCTCTGGCCCCCATTTCTCTTCCATGCTGGGTGCTTCCTGCTCTTGAACATCGGACCCCAAGTTCTTCAGCTTTTGGACTCTTGGACTCACGCCAGTGGTTTGCCAGGGGCTGTCGGGCCTTTGGCCACAGACTGAAGGCTGCGCTGTTGGCTTCCCTACTTTTGTTTTGGGACTCAGACCTGCTTCTTTGCGCCTCACCTTGCAGATGGCCATTGTGGAACTTCACCTTGTGATTGTGTGAGTCAATTCTCCCAATAAACTCCCTCCCTAGATACGTCTATCCTATACCTCCTGTCCCTCTAGGGAACTCTGACACAGATTTCTGGTGAGTTCTGGTCTAGTCCCCAGGGTGCTGTGAGGAAGGAAGCAAGTGTCAGGAGACTCACACTGGGCACGGGGCACTTGTCCTGTGCATGCCAAGGGCTCCTTAGGTTATTGGACACAGCCTGTGCCATCTCCATCCAGAAGCAGCCTGAGGCCCTGGGGCTGGGCTACCGCTCCCCCAGCAGCCCCTCTGCTATTATGGTGAGCAGAGGCACCCCAAGGACCCTCCCAGGGCCACCCTTCCCTAGGCAAGGGACCCTCAGACATGTGTGGACATACTTCCCAGTGTCAGGACATCAATCCCTACACTGCGAGGGGCCCAGCCCCAATGAGGAGCTGCCTTCAGTCCCAGTGAGAGAAGGGATGGAGAGAACAGATGCCCGCTCAGAGATGGTGGCCTTCAGTCTGGAGGGACCATGAGCAGCAGCTGGCAGCTGTGCAGGACCAGGTCCCTCAGAGCCAGCCCGAGGAAGGGTTCCAGGGCCACCGCCAGGCTTCCAGCAGGCAAGAGCATGCCCCAGGCCCTGTCTCATCCTGCTCCTTGACTCAGGGTTTGATGTGGGCCTTGGCAGTGTTTCACGGAGATGTTTATTCATGAGTTTTCATATCAAAACACATGGAGACCGCATCAATATGCCGAGAACACAAGCACCCAAAGGCCTCCGGCAAGATTTGAGTAGTTTAATGAGTTTTACTTATTGGATAAAAGTGTCAACATCGTGATGGAAAAACAAACGAAGCTCCAGCCCTCGTTCCACCTTGTTGAAGCCCAAGAGAACTGTCCCCAGCAGTAACTACAGCCATTGGCGCCAGCATGAGGAGGGGTCTCAGGACGCCACCTCCAGCGAGGGCAAGGCTGAGCCCTCACTCCTTGAACTTCCACTCCTGACGACACATGGGGCAGTGCTGCTGCACCTGCTGTGCGTGAAGCCACTTGAGGATACAGTGCATGTGGAAGCAGTGGGAGCACTGGCCCCACACCAACGGGCAGTCGTCACCGGG